GTGGAGCCCAAATTTTAATCCCTGGCAACTCCAGTGAAAAGACTTCCTGGTAGGATTGCTGGGAAAGATTTGTGCTGGAGCAAACAGTAGAAAGCTAGGTGAATAGCCAAAGTTCTATGAGCTGTTTACAGATAGTGTAAAGGTATTGGTATAAAGAAGCTCCATATGTTTATTTTGTTAGATTAGTTCAGGGGTAGGCAGAAAGTGGAAATCTAGATGTTTAAGACTTCAGCTCGCAGCATTCCTGACTGGTGGCCATGCTGGTAGAAGTTCCTGGGAGTTGTCCAAAATGCCCAGACCTCTGGAGATCTACCTCTTGTCCACCATGGGTTTAAATTGCACATTGATATTTCCAGGCTTTTTTGGACTCAGTCCTCATACCCATGTTGAATGGGAGGCTGCTGGAAACAAGCCTTGTGTAGTGTCTGTGCGAGAGAGAGTGATTGAGGACTGTTCACTGCATTCACAGAGGCTACATCAGCCTTCCCAATCTGGTGCCTTTCTCATCCAGCAAGAAAAGTCTAGGCTGCATCATATGGGACAGGGCCAGTTGTTGGTCTATGAGAGTTGATAATTACAGCTTTCACTGGCGTATCTTTCCTCTTCCTTTAGGGCAAAGTTGCCCTCAGCAAGGTGTAAGGAGAGGGCTCCCTTGGATGACACTAGCTGCAAGCCCTCTTTCTCCTTTTTCCAGTTCCTCTTTTGAATTTTTAATATCCACACATCCTTTCTTCTCCTGTTAAACATGCTCTCCTTAGCTGCTATCTTCTCAGCTCATCTAAACACTACCATGGCTGGGAATAATCAAGGTGCATACTAGCTCCATGTGTATGTACTTCCAGGACAAATCCATAATCATACCTTTTGATTGCCTCAGCTCATAAATATATTTCTCCAAAGCTTCAGATAACTTTTGGTGGAGTGAAAGAGGAACACATCTATTTGGTAGAAGGTTTTAAAACTAGTATATAGTGCCCTAAAGATTTTTTGTTTTATATTAGGCCCATTTCTAGGTATGGTACATATTTTGCTTTCATATTTTATGCTGTTATGTGTTTTATGTGTTTTCTTACTGTGGAAAAAAAGTTCTAAGCCCAACTTCAATCTGCTCTAATCCCTCTGGTTTAAAATCTACACCTGTAATAGAAGTAATTGGTTGGATTTAAATTGGATAAGAATTTTAACTTTAATTAACCTAATTTAGTATAATATAACTATATAAAACTAAATGTGGGTGCCCATTCCAAAATAATGTTTGCCTTACATCAAGGCACAATGTAAATACTGTTTTAAATAAGTAGTTAGAATATTATGATTTTTGTATGCATGATTTCTTATCCACCATTGTCATAGGTCTTGTGGCAAAAGCACTGAGTTCTTTGTTTACAATAACTCAGTGAAGATTGTAAGACTAATAACCTGTATAGAGCTTTGGCCATGGGATGGTATACAAATGAACTAAATTATAATAAGGACACTGAGAAAAGGGCATTTGAGCTCATGTGCAAATCAGTTATTACAGCCCAGCCTTCTTCAGTTTGATATTCTCCTGATTCTTTGGACTACAGCTTCCACAATTTCTGACCATGAGCCATACCATGATGGCTTCTTAAGCAGCCTGTAATTGTGTGAATTGAAATAAACCAAGATGAGATGCAGTGATTGTATGAACCTGTTCAGTGAGTTGTTAAAGTAGACCCATTGAAGTCATGGAATTTCAGTTAGTCCTCACTTAACTTCCTAGAATCATAGAATAGTAGTGTTGGAAGAGGCCCTGAAGCCATTGGGTCCTACCCCCTGCTGTTGCAGGACACCAATTTACACCATCAATGACTACCTAATCACAACAAGACTGGAACCAATCCAATATATACACTAAAATACACGCGCATGCACTGAACAGTGTTAATGTACTGATACATTGGTAATGTATTAATAGTACTTTTCTAGTCAGTTGCAATAAAGATGGGGTACTGTACTCGGGTGGATCTTTCTCCAACTTTAGAACAATTGTTTCTTCAATTTAATGGACAGGTACAGGATGACAGTATGTTGTCTTGTTGACAAAGGCAGCACAGGTAGGCAGAACATACGGATGGTGCACCTGCAATCTCACTGCAAAACAGGCAGGTCTAATTTTATCTAACTTGACAGAGACAGCAGAAATGAAAATATTTTCTATCTTATTTATTTGAAGATGCTGACACTGCATAGCAGATTCATTTCTTAATATGCCACATTATTATTCTTGTGTTGCTTTTTTCATGCTACTTTTTCATGCTTTTCTTTCCTAATAGTAGGCACTACGGCCCCTACAGTTATAATTGCTCCTACAGTTATAAACAAAGCTGACCTAAACCATACCAAATGCTGTTCTTGCGAGACAAGGTATAAATCTGTTTTAGATGCTCCTGCTCTTTAAAACATGTAGGAAAATGATAAAAGCCAAAGTTAAAAATTACCTGTACTTTCACACACAAGTGGGTGGTTTTCAGCTCAGCTTGAAAGAGAGATGCCCAGGATGATTTCATAACCTGAGGATTTTGAAAAATTATCCATCTGGTAGTGAGTAGTTGCTGTCCTAAAATCTGGAGCAAATTTAACCAGCTGCCTACCATCTGATACACCGTTTTCCCTGAGTTTAATGAATTCTTACAACAGAAAAAGTCTTAATACAGAATCATTTTCTTTCTGCTTTGTTGACATACCTTGGCAGACATTAGCTTTGCCAAAGTATTGGAAAACAATTACTTTTACAGCCTCTTTAGCTGTTGTGCACTATGCATACTGCCCATTCGGTCCACCAAACATCTGAATATAGGATAGTATATTCTTCAAAATGGATAGTATATTCTTCAAAAATTGATAAAACTTTTCTTTAACTATACTTTCCCTGCTGTAACCATCATGTGGCCTTCAGTCTTTTTGTCTCCACATGATTTTTTCCCCAAAAATGCTCTGTGTGTGTGTGTATGTGTAAGGTATGAGAACAATTCAAAGGGAGCGATAGAATATGGGGCAGATTATGGAATTATCAGGAAGTAATTAGGGCATGAAAAACCATTAAGAGTCTTGGGAAGAGCAACTCTCTATTAATTTTCCAAAGCTCCTTCCAAGCAGTAGTAGCAGAACTTGTTCTTATTAATATACCATCCGATAGCCAGAGTTCACTGGGCAACATACCAGTTTGAAGGTACATCTATTTAACCATAAGAAATACTCATTTAAGGTGCAGCCCAAATTCCTTAAACTCTGAGTGTGCCTCAGCCTCCAGTTTCCATTTAAACATGCATAGGATTGCACTCGTAGGCTATAATTCTGTATAGACTTATCCAGCAGGACTTAGTATAACTTACGTCCAAAGAAGTGTGCCTGGGATTGCATTGCTAGGCTCGAAGCAAGGACAAGTTAGTAGTGGCCAAGTATCACTGAAAGGAATGGAACTTACTAGAGTAGGACCTTTAGCACAATTTTAGGCATGTTTGCTTAGAACCGAGGCCACTGTACACAGTGGAACTTACTCTGAGGTAAGTGTGCATGCAATTACATTTGTGAGTATATTAGCTTTATGCAATAAACTATGCATATTTGTATTTCACCACTGGACCATCACAAGAGAGAATTATCTTAACAAAGAGTATGGGCTGTGGAAAAGCCTTATTAACATCGAAAAAGTTTTTGTATCCGGTTGCCCTTTTAGAACCAACCATGGTGTCAGATTAAATTGCATGGGCTAGATTTTTTTGCCCTGGAATTTTGTTTGAACTTCGATACTTTTGCCTTCACTAGGGGCTGTATAAAGCCAGTATACCTGCAAAGCAAAGAGCAACACTAAAATAATTTGGCTTTTATCTAGAGTTGGCTTTCTGAAACTGAACTGGACAGCTGAAAGCAGGCCATTGGAGGTATTCTTCCTTTAGAGCGTCATCAAAGGTGATGGCTCCATCATAGCCAGGCCTACTTCAAGGAAAGGGTCTCAGCAGCTCCACCCAGTGTGGCAGGAGCTTCTGGAAATAGAAGCTCAGAACATTTTGAGACTGACCTTCCGTCATCCCTGCTTTAGGCAAATGGTAAATGGTTGTGTTGTGGAACTGACAGAGAAGGAGGAGGGGGAGGAGGAGAAAGCTGCCACTGCAGCAAAGTAAACAAGGGACAAATTCCCATCATCATTGGGATGCCCCATCCCAAGTTTCAAGCTGGAAACCTTAGCTGAGCACAAAATGAAATTTACTTACATAGTTTTAAAGTGGTGTGCATGTGTGGAATAGGCAAATTCATGGGTCCCTATGACAATTAGCTTCTATGGCTGCTTGGAACCCCTCTGCTTACAAGCCACATGCCACTAAAAGTGGGTTGCTTTGTGGACCTTCTCAGTGCAAGGAGGCTTGGTGCATGCAGTCCAGCAGGGGTGTTTTAGGCTGGGTTTGTAAAAATGAGGTAGATAATGAACATTTGAATGCATATGTGACACATATATGTCTTTGCTAAAACGCACCACTTTTTCTGTCTTGTGAACTGCAAGAGGGAGGGTATCCTATTTCGGGGAATGGGCATCCCCCTGCACTGCACTCAACGGGAGCAAACTAGGATTTGGGCAGAGGGTGGTACACACAGCTCTGCCTTCCAGTACCCCACAGTCCCTGTCATTTGCTGCCAGAAGCAGCTGTCTGTTTCTGCACAATGGTAGGACTGGCCCTGAGGAATAGTACATTAGTCTGGGTTTGTAATGGCTAATTGCATATTTGCCTTGGTTAGTGAATCAGTCTCAGCTTTCAGCTTTCTTCCAATAGAGGCATTTTTCAATATAAACCACCAGTGCATGAACACATTTTTCTGATTTAGAGCCTGAGTTCATCGGACCATCATTTTCTTTTCCAGAACCATCACTTTGTTTGGCTCTTACCTGTGCATTTACCTGCCTTGTTTAAACTGAATATGCTTGTGTGCTGCTTGATTGATTTCAGTGGATGTATTAAAAAGTAACTGATTTATTTTGACAGTGAGCTTGGGATGGAAAAGCAACATTTTGGCAGAAGCACATCTGCAGAGGAAAGAGCACCAAAAAGAAAGAAGATGAAACTTAATCAAGAGGATTCTTTTGCACCGTTAGATACAGGCCTTTCCCTTGCAGAAGATGAAGCTCTGGTATTGCATCTGCTCAACAGTCAAAGATAAAAAATCCCTCTCATTCTGGTATCCAATCCAGAACTGAGTGTTTCTGTTACTTTCAGGGCTTCCACTGGGAACTGTTAATCTCCCTCATGCAAGCTGTGCATCCTACTTGCATTAGCCATGGGTGGGGGGTGGGGGGAACCCGTGCAGCAGCCCTGTTGGATACTGCCCAAAGATAGTAGGCCAGCTAGGTTCCAGCAAATTTCATTACGAATGCCTGAAATCATGGCATTTCCTGGGGAAGGCTCGCAACCAAATTGGTTGATTGGTTATCCCCATTTTTGGATACAACCCAACAGCATCCCAACCTTTGATGACTCTTCAGAGATGGAAGAAATTGTTGTAATGTGTATTATTTTTTAGTATAACCAAGCAAATGAATCTTCCCTATCTTGATTAACTTTGTTCCAAAGCAAAGTGGCTATAAAACAGCTTTATGAATAAATACTTAATATGTGTTCATAATTATAATAAATTATAATGGATGCACATTTTTTCCAAAATAAAATCCAATGTTTGCCTCAATATTATGATTCGAGTTTTCATTTGAAATTTGGTGATAATGCTTATCCTTGCTCTTCAGCCAAGTATCACAGCACTAATGTCATTTATGCCAAAGCCAAAAACGCACTGTGTTCTGGGCACTTTCAGACAAAGTGTTTGTTGTGCAATCACAACAAACTGCCTTATTCACAGAATTTTATAGAAGGTCCAGATGGCATTGTGATCCATTTGTATTTGGCCCATGTTTTTCCACTACTGCATCTATTTGGTTTAACCACAAAAAACCTGTTAAAAACATCAGTTTTTCAGCAAATGTGTATAGGAGCATGTGCAATTGAGGCAAGGTGGCAAGAAGTGTGCTTGGGAAGGTGGATTATGTATTGGGAACATCCTTGTATTTTCACTTGCTGTGCATTTCCAGTTGCAGAATTGACTTCCGTATTTCTAAAGTAGAGAGGGGAGCAAATTGGGATATGACACACATCTTCCCAATTTCAATTGCTGCCTATCTTTCTCCCTTTGAAGAAATAATATTCCATAATCTTTAGGAGAAAATCCAAATGCAGGCCAATGAGGACTCGGCCCAAGTAGCTACATAATGTTAACTTTACAGCTGGGAAAGAGAAAACCAGATGGAGCACAGAATGGAGTATCGTGGAAGAGGGACATGTCTGATTGACTGGAACAGTGGACAAGCCTATTCTGTGCTGTAACATTTTGTTGCAGGTCCCACTTGTTCTTTTTCTAACGCCAATGTTAGGATTGCGAACCCAACTCTACAAATGAATGTTGTGTGCAGTAAGCAGATTATATGAAAATACCCACATGCAAAGATTTATTTGTGTACTCAGCTGTGAAATACATAGTAGGTGATAAAGGATTTTGAGGAGGAAGTTCAAAACCTATTGGTATAAGCCTTACATTATTTTATTCTGTTATCAATTTGTCTTTTAGCTGGCATTTTAATTCAGTTGTTTTATTATTGTTATAACTAAGTTTTTATCTAAATATGTTTTCATTCCTATGATAGTTAGTCACCTTGAGTGCCATTTTCTTGGTCGAATGCTAAGGTATAAATGAAATAAATGTGTGCGAAAGAAAAAAAGAGTAAGGATTTAGAGGAAATCTTGAAGGAAGGAAACCTGAAATAGTGAGCACACCTTCTTGTGTGCTTGTAGTGAGGAAGCCAATGTGGGCATGCATGCCTTGAATGTTTGTGTGTGTGAATCTGGTGAGTAACACAGATTTTTTTTAAAACAGCGTATTTAATGCAATACAATGCTAAGAAGCGTAGCTTCAGAGCAAGCAAGCTGTATTTGAGTTTTGTCGTGCACTGTAGTGGTTTGCTTCTTCATTTTAATGGAAAGATACTATTTTTTGTGTGGGTGCCCATAGAGTGCATCCAACCTCACGAATTACAGCCTTTGGAGCACCAGAGGTGAAGGTGGCCTCTAGACTCCCCCCCCCCCAGCCGTTCCTTCCAAGGGGTAAGGACAGAGGCCCCCCCCTGTGTGTGTGTGTGTGTGTGTGTGTGTGTGAGAGAGAGAGAGAGAGAGAGAGAGAGAGAGAGAGAGAGAGAGAGAGTCGGTCAGTCAGTCAGTCAGTCAGTCAGTCAGTGGGTAGTGACCTGAGGGAGGAGAAGTGATCCACAGTTAAAAGGAAAAAGATAGGGAGGAAGGAGTTGGATTGGTGCAGGGTTTGCAAAGAGAAAAGGAGTTGTTCAGTCTGTTGGGGCTAAGATCCCACCTCTACTTTAGACTTAAGGAGGCCATTTCTCCATTGTGAGTACATTTTGCATGAATTTATTTATCTATTTCTATTTGAATTGTGGTGCTGGAGGAGACTCCTGCGAGTCCCTTGGACCGCGAGGCAATCAAACCGGTCAGTCCTCGAGGAGATCAACCCTGACTGCTCTTTAGAAGGCCAGATACTGAAGATGAAACTCAAATACTTTGGCCACCTAATGAGAAGGAAGGACTCACTGGAGAAGAGCCTAATACTGAGAACAATTGATGGCAAAAGAAGAAGGGGATGGCAGAGGATGAGGTGGCTAGATGGAGTCACTGAAGCAGTTGGTGTGAGCTTAGCTGGACTCCGGGGGGTGGTGGAGGACAGGAAGGCCTGGAGGAATGTTACCCATTGGGTTGCAATGAGTCGGACATGACTTCGTGACTAACAACACCAACAACAACAATAACATTTCTATATCATCAGTGGCCAAAGCTCTCTGAGGCTACATCTTCCAAGATTCCCTTTTTCAGACAACGTTGACACTACTATCCTATAAAGGTTTATTCAGATGGAAGCCCTACCATCTTAATGTGCCTTACTCTTCTTTTCCCAGCCCATTAAAACTTTCCCACAAACTTGCCCAGACCCTCACTTCCTTTTCAACCACACATGCAGTTGCCTTGCTGAATCGGAACTTCCACTTCTCTTTACTTACCAAATAGTTACTTGTGCTCTGGGAACATTAAGAATCAACTGCTCTCATGTCTCCTACATGCGGTTGCCTTTGAAGACTATTCAGAAACTGCAGTTAATTCAAAATACAATCACAGGCTGAAGACTAACAGGTGGAGGCATATCTCACTGGATGGAAAACACTTCACTGGCTCCCAGTTCTGTGCATAATGTAAACTACTGGTACTTTTAAAGCCTCACACGGCTTAGGACCTACACAACTGAAGCTCTTGCACCAAAATGCCTGTATTTTGAGGTCATCTTTAGGACTCTTCCAGCAACCCTGCAAAGACACGAGGTGGGCACTGACCAGAGTGAGAGTATGCGCAGACATCTTTAGGGGGTGCCCCAAGTTCCCTGTGCAGAGAAGCCTGCCAGGCACCAACACGGTTATCCCTTTTGTGTTGGGTAAAGTCACTTTTTCCCTCCCAGTGTTTTTAATGTACCTTTCCTTTTATGTTTCAGATTCGTATTTTTGTATACAGGAATCTCCGCTGGTAATAAATAAAAGCAGGTGATGGCTGGGGGACAGTCGTGGCTCTCGAGATGCTTTGGCCTTAATTCCTATCAGCTCTAGCCAGCATTGCATGTAATGAGGGAGGTTTTAGGCCAAAGCAGGGGGTGGGGGGGATGCAAATTGCTCATCCCTGCAAGAGGGAAAGGTCCTGTCAATACCCAGCTTCTGAATGTTTCTGAAAACTGACTTGGCAAGTATGTAAGGTGCAAGCTGGATTTTCACAGTGCAATGGAAATATATCTGTAAGGCACAGGGAGTCTGGGCGGGGGAGGGTTTGTTGTTTTGTTTTGTGTTTTTGGTGGGGGAACCTCTACATGCGGTAAGAGCAGAGTAGAAGCATCCTTCTGCCACTTTTCTGACAACTGAGTGGACTCTGGCTTCGGGGTGAGTTGTCGAATGAGATCTACGCTGGACCATGAGATCCAATTTACCCAGAAATAGAATTCTCTGGATTGGTTCCATCACTGACATGTTACTTAGTTCCTTAAATTTGTTTTCTAGTGAAGGATGGAGAGATTTAATTGAAGAGAAGTGAATTTTATTTCAAGCCCAGCAGTCAGTCTTGGAAAGAGAAACACAGCAGAAATAAACAAATAGCATAATGTTACTGGAAAACATGTTGATGTTCAAAAGAAAGAAATAAGCTGCTTTTGAGCAGAATGGCACAAATAAATAAATAAATGAACAAGCCTCCATGTACAAGTTCTTATTAAATTGTGATTCAGGACTCAGTGAATGAGTAACTCGTATTTAACTCTAATGCAGCTATCAATCTGAAGTTTCAACTTGGCATTAGAATCCCTGTGATTACAGAAGCAATCAAAAGTTGCTTGCTCTTCAGTGTCATTGCCTTAGGATTCAAAAATAGCAGGTGCCATTCCTAATTTAACAGTGAGGATAAGTTGCTCTCACCCAGAAATGTTTATATGCTTCAGCTGAAAAACTTACCCCGCACCTCATCGTTTTGTGTGCTTTAAAGGAACACTTAAGTTATCTCTATTTATCATCTGACTGGCAGGTGATGAAAGTAGCTTGAACAGTGACACCAATTCTATTTTTTTTTCATTAATAAGGAAAGAAATATTGACTTGGTTTAATGTCATACAATTAGAACAATAGACTAAAATGGCTGAATAAAAATGGTAAATGTAGAGACTTTATCAAATTTGAGGAGATTGTTTTGTATAAAGACACTTGAGCCTTTATTCCAATAAGGGAGATCATAAGCAAGATTTAGAAGATGCTATTGGACACAGAGGTCATATATGATCTTAAAATTTCATGGAAAATGGATTTAGGGAGGGATATAGACAAGAATGGGAAAATATGGAATAAAAGAATATGAAAAAATATGTCAATCAGAATTAAGGAAAATTTCTATAAATTAATATGGAAATGGTAGGTAGTACTGGTAAAATTATTCTATATGGATAATAAATATTCCAATTTATGGTACAGATAGGGGCAAAAAGTAGGTACCTATTTCTATATGTGGTGGTGGAATTGTGAAAAAAAAAATGGATAATGTTTTTTAAGGAAATTAGCAAGATATTGAACTTAAAAATTGGAACAGATCCCAAAATAGCATTTTATGAAAAGAAATGGAGATGGAACACTAAAGAATAAATAACAAAATTGGTAACAGCAGCAAGATTGATTATAGCAAAGAACTGGAAGACATGGGATTTCCAGTTAACTGAATGGTATAAATAAATTTGGAATATAGCTGTTAATGATAAGTTGACATGCGGAATTAAGGCGAAAAAAGGGTTGACAAGAATGATTTTCATGATACATGATATAAATGTATTTATAAAAGGGAAGGGTATTAAACTGTTGGATGACGCAATGCAATTCTGGACAGTAGGGGGTATACCTGAAAGAGCAGGGATTTAGAAGAAAAGAGAGGAGGAGGAGGAAATGAAGGAATATGTGCTATGTAGTCATGATCTTGGTGGAGAGGTGCATAGTATATATAGATATGGAAGTGGAAGTTTTATTTTTCTTCTATAGTATCTCTATAGTATTTTTAATATTTCTA